CCCAGTCCTTTGGAAGTGATGGTGTTGACCTGCCTCTGAGACATCTTTATCAAATACCTCTCTTAAGACTATCTTAAAATGGCTTTTGCTTGTTTATTTCATGGATGAATAATGGAGTATCCATGAGGTACAAACATGTGTTTAATGTTGAAAATAATTTACATTTGCAAAATTCTTCCCTTGTGATTTATAATAAAATCTCTGTGGCTTATGCAGAATAGATCCATTGAGCTTATTTTATGGACAAGCAAATTGTCTTTCTTAATCCCTTGATGTTCCTTGTTACAGGAAAGAAGTGGAGGCATTATGTGAATTTCTGAATGAGTTGAAGACAGACTTGGCTATGGAAGACCAAGAGAGATTCCAATGGGACCTGCTAGACAGGGAAAGGTTTATAAAGGAGTTTCCTCAAGTGAAAAAGGAGCTGGAAAAGAGCATAAGAAAGCTCTATGCACTTGCAGACAGGGTTGACAAGTCGCACAGGGACCGTACCATCTTCAAGGTGGTGGCCAACTCTACAAGCACTGTGTCTGGTGTTCTGAACATCCTTAGCCTGGCTCTAGCACCCGTGACAGCAGGGGCCAGTTTGGCGCTCTCGACCACTGGGTTAGGGCTGGGAGCAGCAGCTGCTGTGACCACTATGTCCACCAGCATCATGGAACACTTTGGTAGATCATCAGCAGAAATGGAAGCCAGTGGCCTGTTGTCAACTAGCATCAAAGAAAAGGTGTCTGTGGGAGCTCGATGTTTGTCTGCACTTGGGATAGCTTTTTCTACAGCAAAAGTCTACAAAGCCATGCAAGGGGTTAGGAAAAATGTCCACACTGCAAAGCTGGTGAAAGACAACTCTCAGTTAGCAGCCCATGTAAAAGCTTCATGAGCACTGGGCAAGTCTCTGTCCAAACCAGCAAGGAGGTGAACGAAGCTTTCAAAGGCACAGCTCTGGCAATGACCAAAAAGGCCCGGATCATTGCTGGAGGCTTTGCAGAAATCTCCCTTCTAGTGGATGTGGGCTTCCTGGTAAAAGAGTTAATGCACTTGCATGAGGGGGCAAAGACAGAGTTGGCTGAGAAGCTGAGGCAGCAGGCCAGGGAGCTGGAGAAGAAGTTGAAGGAGCTCATACAGACCTATGAGAGGCTGAAGGAAGGCCCGACTCCCCCACCCCCAAAGCAGTGCAGGAACGAGGGACACATGTGAGACCAAGGTTCAGAACACCTTGTTGAGGGGAAAGGAGGGGGAGACAACACTGATGGAGCTGTGTGTTAGGAATCTGGCCTTTCTGTAGCTGAGCACAGCAGGGGAGGAGTGCATGCAGGGTGAAGATGGGGAGAGAGAAGGAAGGAGCCTGGAGCCTGGACTAAGGGAGGAGAGTGACAGGAGGGGAGATACCACTTATTTTGGACTAAAGAACACACTGGGGGCAGAGTAGAGAGGCAGGGGAACTAGCAACGAGAGGCCAGGAATATGAAAGCGTTTAAAATGGGTGAGAGTCAAAGAGGAGCTTCTCCTGGGATGCAGGAGAAGCAGCCCGGGCTCCTCTATCGCGCTCCCCAGGCTTTGCTGTCCCAGCAGGAAGTCTCCCCCTGATGGTCTCTAGCCCTCCTTCTCCAGCATCAGCTCACCTTTGCTCCCAGCAGGTTTACCTTAATTAGGCAGGGACTTCTTGATGATAATGGTGGAGGTGGCAGTGATGACTACTCAGGGGGCGGAACATTTGTCGAGATGCAGGTGATATTTGGGACCAGGATACACTGAGTGACTAATGAAGACCCTATGAAATTCCAAATGCTGTGTGAAACAGAGGTTGATTAAAAAAAAAATCACAAAAGAAAGAAGAAATGACACCAGAAGGCAACAGCCGACCAAGGAACTGTGCGGTGTGTCAAGCAGATCACCAGCCTGCGGTGAGGAAAGGCCGCCTCTCAGACCCTCGGTTTCCTCTCCAGTGGTGGGTGGGGCTGGACAAGATACTCAGGTTCCTTGGTCTCCCCCCATCTTTTGTTCTCCAGATTCTGGTTCAGTAAATATGAGCTGATTCACTGAGGCTTCCTTGCACTGACTGAGGGGCTCATCTGGGCTCCAGATGCCTGACCTCCTTCCGCATGAGCCTGTCTCCCAGGGTCTCAGGGAGCACGTCCTCCACGGCTCCTCCTTCCTGCCCGCTGGGCTCCCATCCAGTCATTTCCCTCAGACCTTGGAGCCCCGCAGGCCCCATGGGACACCCTGGGGAGCCCGTGTCATCTGACTTGGGCTGAGCACGGGGATACTCCTCCTCCAGCCCCGGGGACCAGGATGGACACGGGGCACCCGAGGGTGATTGAGAGCAGACGGCGCGTGTGCAGGTGTGGGAGAGGGTCAGCCGTAAGCAGAGGGGCAGAGAGAGACAGCACATCCCTCATCCAGGCTGCCTTCATGTTTCACCAGGACTCCTGCAGGAGCTTCCCCTCTCCTCCTGGCCAGAGCCTGGACCTCAAAGTGTGAAAGTTGAGCTTTGGGACCTTGCTTTTTCTTATGATAAAAGAATAATTTGTTTGCTGAAAATTCACAGGAATATCATGACCTGACATCAAGAAAAAAGGCTCCGACACCAAGAAGTTTGCAACAGCTAACCAGGCCCCTCGCTTACCTTTCTCATGAAAGGGCTTTGCTGAGAGTTTCGGGGAGTTCAGGATTTTTGAGGCATGAGCCACCTGTCTCGTTGCATGGCCCTGCAATGAACCTTCTTCGGTTCCAAACTCCAGCATTTTGGTATTGTTTGGCCTCACTGTGTGTTGGGAACATGGACTTGGATTCAATAAAACAGGCAACCCAAAGTATTCTGCTGAAGCCTCAGGTACCTTGAAGGCAGAGGTGGACGCCAGGCTCACTCCATCCCCAGAGGCAGGACTGAGGGGCTGGGGAAAGTGGGCAGGAAGGAGGGAAGGTCCATCCAAGGCCATGTTCTGACCTGGTCAGCCATCTGGGATTTCACCTACCATGACCTTCTAAGGAACCTTCATGGAATGGCCTCGGGCTCATCCTCTCCAGGGAGGAAAAGGGAGCATCTGGGTGTTGCCCTCACCCCCCTGGGCCTGCTCCATGGGGCACCAACTCTCTGTGTTTCCATGTGGAGCATGTGACCCCTGTCCCATGGTGACCCCTGTCTCAGGTGAGATCCCTGTGGTTCTGAGCAACAGAAACTGAGTCTGGCTAAGTGAGCACAGAAGAGGGCCCACTGGAGGGACCGGGGCAGGTCAGAGAATGGAAAGAAGCCCCCAGACCTGCACATTTCAGGAAGGACAGGAAGCAGGACAGGTCGCCCTGCAGGAGCTCACAGTCTGTCCCTTGAGGCCCCTGCCAGCAGGGGGCTTAGGTCCAGGCACCTAGAATCTCAGAGTCAAAATCCCAGGGCACAGAAGAGCTTGGGTTGGGAGACTGTATTCTTGGACCAATAGGTCAGGCTGAAGGATGAGAAGGATGAATAGGTAATAAGGACCTGACCCCTGGGGGTAAAGTCTCAGGTGAAGAGGCTCCAGATTGAGTGCTTCCTGGATGCACATGAGCCCTCTTCTCAGACCAACAAAATGACCCTCCTCACCCTGTTCTGGGTCCAAGCACCCCACATACAACAGTAAGTGCACCACCTTTCATACGGTTCGTCCTGTTCATGTTCATGGAGTTCTTGCAGCAAGAATACTTTGGCGACCTGATGTGAAGAGACGAGTCACTGGAAAAGAACCTGATGCTGGGGGAGACTGAGGATTACTGGCTACTCTGGGCTCTGTCCTTGGGGCTTTTTCAGGCCAGAAGGGTAGCAGACTTATCAGAATTTCAGCCACTTTTATCCAACCAAGAACTGCAGCTGCCTTCAAGAGAAATCCACAAAAAATGACCATCTCACCCCTTGCCCATCATTCAATCTGTATTTGACTCCCCTCAAAATCTTCCTTCTCTGCTCCTTCTCCTGAGCCCTCGCATGGCGGTTTTGCACTCTGTACTTTAGTGTTCTGTACTTTGTACCAGGTCGAGAGTGTGTGGTTGTTGCCTGCAGGAGAGTCTGCTTGTCAGGAGCTTGTCTGAAATGATTTTTGAGCCTTACTTCCTTCGCTGACTTGTTGTGTGATCTGAACAAGTCGCATCCCTGCCTTTGCCTGTATCCCTATCTACATAATAAAATAATAATTCTGCCCCTCCTCAGGAGAATCACATGATAAAAAAGTAAATGATTTGCAAATGGCCAAGTGCTCTTCTGATAGAATCATACCCTTCACTCCTCCTGTCCTTCCACAGGCTCTCCAGGGTCCAGGGCTGCCCATGACCTCTATACCAGGGAAGCAGGCCCTTATGGGGAGGGAGACCTTGGACCTCTGTGTTTCAGGCCCCCTCCCATCTCCTTCCCCTTGGACATAAATCAGAATGGCGAAGATCCCAACTTTAGAGTCAGACCTGGGTTTCTATTTTTCTTTACATCTCTGACATCTTGGATGAGCCGTTTCCCTTTCCCTGACGAGCAAGGCTGCCCTTTGCCTCCCCACTGATGGGGAGACCCTTCTGCTGACACAGTGCCGTTCAGAAGACTCATGTGGTTCTCGCCCTCTGTTTCCACATCTGGCCTGGCAACGCTTGTCCTCCTGCACTTTGCTCCTCTGGCTCCTAAGTATGTTAGGTCACTCTTGACTTTGAACTACCTCTTTTAAAAAAAGCAACCCTGTTTCTCTAGTCACCTAAAGCAATGTTACCTGAGCCCCCATGTCCGCTGCCACCTTTGTGAGAAATGCACGTGGGCAGAGACGTCCACAGGAAAGGCCCTTCAGGGCTGAGTTTCTGCGTTTCCCTGCGAGTCTGACTCCTGACCTGCCCCTTGCTGGCCCCCACCTGCCCCCTCTTGGCGTTCCCCTATCCTCCACTCTCCCTGCACCAGGAGGAGGCTGCCCACAGACCAACAGGGCCAACCCTGGCTCCAGTCCCCTCCCCTGGCCTTGGCCTTGCTCCAGGGCTCCGTGGTGGCACATGGTCAGTAGCCGGCTCTCATCCTCTGGATCGAAGCCCTGGAGCTCTGTAGCAGCCTGTACCGCATTGGCCAGAGCAAGGTCTTCTTCCAGGCCGGCATGCTGGCCCACCTGAAAGAGGAGCGGGACATGAAGAACATGGACATCATCATCGGCTTCCAGAACTGCTGCAGGGGCTACCTGGCCAGGGAGTGAGTCCCGGGACACCCACACCTTGCTCGTGACCCCCCAGTTCTCCTGCAGTGGAGGGCACTGAGGAAGCAGGGCCTGGGCGCCCTCATGGCAGGAGGTGTCCCCTGGGGAGACCCACGTAGCTTTCCCTGTCCCCTGCTTCCTGTATTTCTGCCAGAGGTTTAAAGTGAGCAGGAGGGAGGGGTGACTGTGCTCAGATTTTCCTTCCAGGAAAGCCCCTGGCCACCACCTTTCTTCTCTGTGTCCCTCCCGTAGGGGAGACGCTCAGAGCCGGCAGTCCCCAGAGGACCCAGAGCTCCAGGGAGGAGGCGCCCTTAAGTCCTGACAGCTCCTGTGGGGTCAGGGGCAGGCTTGTGCAGGACCGCAGGAGGGGCAGCTGTGCATTTGCCCCTTGACCCCTCTGTGTCAGTGCTTCAAGTCTGAGCCCTGAGCACTGCAGAGAGAGCGTGAGAGTGTGGTGTCTCCCGTGAGAGTTTGGACAGATGGACATTTGCAGGACATAAGCTGCTGGTATCCTTCTGCCCAACAACAGTAGTTTTCTGAGTTGCTTGAAGAAAGCCCCGCCTCTCCCCAACCAAGGCTGCCTTATCTGCAAAATCAGATCAAATTCCTGGCCTTTGTTATGGGTGATTGTAAGACTAAATTGCAGTGTGTGGTCCTCATGGAATAACACCCATCACTCTTCTGTCCATCCCTCAAAACCTCGGGGGGGGGGGGGGGGGAGGTGACCATGATGGCCCAGGGCATTTCCTGGGATGAAGCAACCCAATGGAAGGTCAGGCTGGCCTCCCTGAAGGGCGTAGGCCCATTGCAGCCACTTCTGCTTGGGGGCAAAGAAGAGAAAGTCCAACAGCAGTTGAGTTTAAAGACTCTCAGGCTGAGTTACCTCTGCTTCTCCATTTCTTTGTAAAATGGAGCCAGTACTTCCTAGAGCTGAAGTGAGAGTTCAACAGGAAAGGCATGGATGGTGCGAGCACAGCGCCTGGCACATGCTCAGCCCTCCATCCACAGAGGCTCACTGCTCAGGAAGCAAACGGAGACAGGGCCAACTCTCTGTTGTAGACTTCTCTGAGTTGCCAGGACACTGGTTTTCTGATGAAAATCCTCCCTTTGGAGAGAAAATATCAAGTTGTCAAGTGGAGATAAGCCAGGGGAGAAAAGGACAGCATGCTCTCAGCCCTCCCCACAAACTTCTGCATCCACGTAATGGCAGTGACCACCAAGAGCAGGCCTCCTCCTGTGGGTCACTGGGACCAAAGACACTAGTTCCATCCCTGCCAGCGGGGCTAAGTCTAGAGGGGTCTGATCAGAAGGGGTGGGAGGGGCATGGACAGAGTGTCAGAGGAGTGGCCTTAGGCCCCTCACCCAGGTACCATGCGAGCAGAGCAGGGGACTGTGGACTCTACAGGGGAAGGTCCAGGGGAGGTGATGTCAGATTTGGGCTTTGCTGCATGAACATGATCTTCCAGGTGGTTGCAGCAGGTGACCCTGGCAGAAGGTCCTCTGTGAGTAAGAGCCCAGAATCCACATGGACATGACACTCAGCAGCAGCAGTATGACCAGTATGCAGTGAGCAGGTGGCATTTTCTGGGACTGGGTCAAATGCTGGTGGCATGAAGGTAAATCAGGCAAGCAGGCTAACGAGTGTGGGTGAGTAGAGAAGGCAGAGGGGGCTGGGAAGAAGCCTATGGGCTGAGGCCAAGGGCCTCACAGTGCGTTGGTGGCAGGTCTTTTTTCAAGGAGCACAGAGCAGGATGAACTGAGCCAAGAATGACCTAGAATGTCAAGACTGGGCTTGTTTCTCTACGGGGAGCAGTGGAAGGGTGGGAAAAGCCCAGGGAGGGGCCTGTTCGGCAGAATATTTGACACAAGTGACTCAGAATTGAGTGTGTTCAATTTCCCCTTTCGGTTCTCCAGGTTTATCTGGACCCACAGGATGTGTGGTTTATTGCAGAGACACACAGCTTCTGGCTGCATTTGCAAAGCTGAGAACAACTGGATCTTGTTCACACTCGGCCAGAGAAGATTCCTGGGTAAACAGGGAGGTAGGGCCCCCGCCCACCTCCCCATCCTCACAACTAAGAAAAGGACGATTGTCACTAGTTGACAGAAGAAGGAAAGGAAGTTTAGAGAGGTGAGGTCAGGGCCGAGACAGAAGGTTAAGCATGGGTAGAGCCTGAATGTGGAGGCAGGTGTTTCTGGCAGCTTCCTCCCATCCCCTGGGCCCCTGGACAGTGCAGAGGGAGGGCGACGCCTGCTCAGGTGGGCTCAGCTTGGAACATGGGCTCCTGAGACGAGAGCCGACACCCCAGAAGGAAGATGTATGTTGCAGGTGCTCAGCCCTTTGGGAAACTGGAGGAAATGGAGGGGGTGGAGGAGGAAAGAGGAGTCAGAGCCCCTCCTGCTGCGGCCTGGCCACCTTGAGGCTGCCCGCAGGTGCTTCACTGCAGCTGATGGAAGAAAGGGTTCCTCTTGAGATACAAGGGGTCCAGGTGTATCATCACTTGTCTCTTGAATGCCTGCGCAGTGCCAGTCCCTGCGGGGGAATCTGAGGCCTGAGAGGGGAGGAACAGGAGACCAAGTGAGGAGACGCAGGGCTTGCTATACAATGCCTACATTATGAACTCGATTTTATAATTTTAAGACAAAAAGTCAAGCTGTGAACACATCAGTATAACAGGAGGGACATGGGCTTTGATCTATGTGTTTTACAGGCAGAGACAATGTTGGAAACTTTGGGGTTACTAAAACCATGTTACCCCTCCACATATATCATGTCAGAAAGTCTGGTCTTGGGCTTCACTCTGCCCATGGAGAGCTGTGTGACCCTGGGCAAGTCCCCTCCCTGGGAATTGTTTCCTCAGTTTCTTACTCAAATTTTTAATACATATATATACACTTTTTTTTAAATTTGAGTGTGTCAGGTCTAGTTGAAGCGAATGGGGTGAGTTGCTCCGCAGCATGTGGGATCTTAGTTCCTTGACCAGAGAGCAAACCCGTGTGCCCTACATTGCAAGGCGATTTAACCACTGAACCACCACGGAAGTCCCTGTTACTCAATTTTTAAAAACTGGTTTCAGTCTTTTTCTGTGGATTTTAGGCTCTCTCTTGTGGATTTTCACCTTGTTGACTCTAGGTATTGCAAAGTGTCTGCTGGTCTCTCCTTGTAATCTGACCTAGTTCATGGTGTCCTTTGCATGTTTTAATGTTTAGAGGACAAATAAATCAGACTTTTCTTTATGGCTTATGGGATTTGTGTCTTGACTAGGAAGGTTTCCTCAAATCAATCTTATTTTTAACATATTTTTTCTAGGGCTTTGTAGTGTTTTCTTTCTGGCTTATACTGAGATCTCTTTGGGACTCACTGATGGATTGATTAGAAGCGTTTCCTTTCTTCCTCTTCCTCCTCCTCCTTCCCCTTTCTCCTTTACTCCTTCTTCTCTTTCAAGCAGGACATATTTAATGGGTGCTTTTCTCAGTCAAGTTCTTCCCAAGTGGCACTTGTGGTAAAGAACCCACCTGCGAATGCAGGAGATATGAGAGACGTGGGTTCAATCCCTGGGTCGGGAAGATCCCCTGATGAAGGACAAGGCAATCCACTCCAGCGCTCAGTCAAAAAGGAGCACACCCTTTCTTGGGTCTTCAAAGCAGCCTTCATGGCAGTCTGGGTATGACTCCACTCTCTCCCCGCAAGTCCGCAGCAGCAGTTAGGGAACAGAAAGCGAGAGGCTGGAGGAAGCTGGGCCCCACAGCCACGCTTGGCCCTGGATTACAGTATGGGGCCTTCTCCTCTGTTAGTCTCTGATAGGCCACTTCCTGGAAAGGCTGTTTCTGGGAAACAGGAGGACTCTGGAGAAGTCTGTCCCAGGCTTTGGAATGTCTGAATCAAGGGTCAGGCATGTATCAGATTTTAGATAAGTCCCATGTTTTCCCACAATTCTCTCTTCCTCTCCTCATGTAATAATATCATAGCTGGAGTAAGGAGACATGAGGAAATACAGGTGTTTCCTGCCACCTGTATATACAGAGTTCCTACGAAAATTTTGCAAATTAAAATGGCATAGAGCATAGACAGTCTAGGTCTCACATCTCAGTTTATTGGCAGAGGCTAATCTTTTGGAAAGCAGGGGATGCCTAAGGAAATACACTCAGAAATCTGATAATACTGTCTGTCAGAAAGAGCTTTTCATCCAGACAGACCAGGAAAAGAGATGGAATTACTGCACTGCAGGTAAAACAGGGATTGTGATGTGTCTTCAAGAAGCTGGTTGTTTCATGTTCCCATAAGGGGTCCCCACACCTCATATTTTAGCCAGGCTGTATCCAGGAGGGCAGGGGGTGCCCTGCCAGTCCTGGACAGGAGGAGTAGCAGAGAAGAGACAGGGTCCCATTCTTTGAGACCCCATGGACTGTAGCCCACCAGGCTCCTCTGTCCATGGGGGTTCACCAAGCAAGAACACTGGAGTGGGTTACCATGCACTCCTCCAGGGGATCTTCCCAACCCAGGGATCGAACCCAGGTCTTCTGCATTGCAGGTGGATTCTTTTCTGACTGAGCTCCAGGGAAGCCGAAATGGGTAACAGAGCTTAAGAATTTGTCCATTTGTGTTGAGAAAAAAATGACCACCAAAAGATTTAATAATACCTCTCTCTTAGGAGATTTATATCTGGCGCTGCCGCCAGAATTTCAAGAATTACAGCTTCAAGAGAACTCCAGGAGCATAGATACAGTACAAAGGGTTGGAGTTAACTGTTGGCTATTTCATTCAAAATGCTAACTGGAGAAGTCTGTTTTTAAGTACATTTTGCTGTTAATTTCTTTCCTGACTCCTGTTTCTTGTTGGTTTAGCTGCCCTGTTGTCTCTCCCATCTCCATCTTGGTCATTTTTCCTTGAGAGACTCATTTCCTTCTCTGGGGCCTGGGAGATACTTGGGTTTTCCTCCTATCAAGCAAGATGAAGGTACAAAGCTCTGAGAGAGTGGTGAAAATTAAACCCCATACCC